CTTCTATGTCCCTGGGTCCTGCTCCTATCATAGAGGACTACAGTGTGGTGATATTATCCTGTCCTTGAAGACATAATGCTTGGGATCTCCTGGTTAGAAAGAAAGTTGATCCTCTCAATACAAAAGGAAATGGGTAAGATCTGGGCTCCACTTTTCCAAGAGAATTCCCAACAGAGGGAGAGCTTTAAATCCTCACATCTATTAAAAGACTCAATTCCTTATGACCTAAATTTCCTCAATTACAAAATCAAGGGTCTAATGATGACTTTCACCATCGCATTCTACAATGGTGTGTCTCTTAGTTGTACCAAGTATAGCATTACTGAGGTGACTACCTTCTTCAGCTCATCTTGGAGGCTGTAACAGGAAAAGACCTCTTGTATGTTTTGTAAAAAGGTTAATTATCTGGCCAGTGTGTGCATTGGAAGAGAAAACTGAAGTAAGATGGAAGCAGGGTGAAGAAAATAGTTTTGACATTTTCTTTCAAATAACACTTCAGTATGTTTTTCACTAGGTTAAGACTTCAAGTTTAGCCCTTTACCTCTAAGATAGTACATTACAAAATACTAGTAACCATTTAGTACACATTTTCTACTGATGTTCTTGCTATAAATCATTTGGCCTTTATACTCCAAGAACAGTGTAATTATCATGATAAAAAATGGAAGAACTTCATCTTATTCTATTCTGGTTGTGATTACTTCCAGAAGTGTCAAGGTCAGGTAGGTTATTTTCACAAGAAGAAGTGGAAACTTTAAGTGTAAGGGCTGATTCTGTCAGAAAACATGTAATCTTGGGCAACTAAATTCCTATCTTATTTTTCTTTTCTATGACAAGGCAATTAATAGCATAAATGAGGGCCTTTAACATGAGTGGCTGCCTCAGTCCAAATGAATGCTTTATATACTGTAAAAAATTCACAAATAAGCAGTAATACTGTTGTTATTAGAGATGATATACTCAGTACTTTTCCATGCATATGGATTAAAACATAGTAGTATAGAATATAACCTCAGATCTTAGGGAACTCATAAAGTAGTAGGGAAAATAGGTTTACTTGGGTTTCTTAATGTAAATAACATCAGTCATCTTTCTCTATACTCAAATGAGTTTACTGTTAACAAGTTATGCAAAAATAATACAAACAATACTGATCACAGAGTCCTTTAGTGAAGTTTTTCGAGACTTACCCTCACCAGTTCATTTCAATCTGCATGATTCTGCAAAAGGACATATATAATCTAGTATAACATTTTTAATTGTTTAACTAAGTTTCAAAAATATCTCCCTAATTCAACCTACAATAAATCAGACATTATTATTTGTGTCCAAGCACCAAATCTTTCCTCCTATCCTTATGACTAGTCAATATTTTTTATAAATGCACTATAGTTATACATAATATTGGGAATTTTTTAGACATAATTATACAAACATGGAATGTAATTCACTGCATTTCAATACCCATAATTTCTCTTTCCCTTCCTCCAACCACCTGCATTGCCTTTCCTCTACACTTATTTTATTTTTTATTTCTATAGCTTTTTAAAATTAGTTAACTATGAATATATATAAAGATTAAATTCTCTATTGTATATTCATATATGCACATAAGAAAGTTTCATTCCATTATTCAGATTCATTCCACCATTCCTTTCTTTTCCCTTCTCTCATCTCCCCACCTCAATCCACATCCTCCACTGAACTCTCTTCTATTTTGATGGTATTTCTCACCTATTTCCCCTTATTTTGGTCTAGCTTGTGCACATAAGAGAAAACATTCAACCTTTGACTTTCTGAGTCTGGAATATTTCACTTAGCATAATGTTCTCCAGTTCCATACATTTAACATTATTTACCAGTCTTTATAATTTTATTTTCCTTTCATGTTGGGCTTGCCTATTTATCCTCAGTACTGATCTGTGGATCTGAATGAGTCTGAAAAATTTCAATAACAACTTGCTGTGAAGTTGGACAGATGTATCAATATCCAGTGGCAAAAATGTGGTTATCCCATGGTCAGATCATCTCTCTATCCATTCAGAGATTTAGTATAACAACCAAATCATTAAAGGACTGGAGGAGAAAAAAAAATACTGTCATTGTTATTTCTCTGGTCCAGCATTTCAGACCCCTTTCCATGGACATTTTCTTCCAAAGGGCCCTCAATACTTACAAAGCTGTGCAGCCACTCCTTTTGCAAAGCCCAGACATCACAGTAATTATCAACACAGAAAATATTAGGAATATGCAAAATGAATTGGGAAGATTAAGTGACCTTCTCGGGTATTCTCAACATCTTGCCATTACAGACATTTTCCAGGATCTCAATGTGAGCATCATTGATGCCCAGGGTATAACAATTACATATGGACAAATAATATCCACCCACTTATTATGTAGTTTTCAATGCAACTAACATATTCTTAAACAATATTTGTTAGATAAAATGTATCTCTGAAATTCATTGATTTAGGTAAAAAGATCTACTAAGTGCCTGTTAGCCTGCCAGATGTCATGTTTGACTCTTAATTAGCCTGAGAAGATAACCTTAACTATTAGTGATATGGTTCTACCAGGTCAGCCAAGTAAGCTATTGCTACTCTGGACTTTGACTTACAAATGAAACTAAGAATAGTCATGAAAGGTCCTACCCTCCTCGATCACAGTCATGCCACTTTTCAAAAATGGGAAGTTGAGACACATATTGGTGAAATTTCTCTCTGTTGCATGGAAATTGAGAGCTATTAAGTAATTGTAAAATAAACACTAGGAGAAAGAAGTCTCATTTCTTACTTCTACCACCATAGACAGATGTGAGCTGATTTCCAAATGAGAAGTCTTATAAGGCAATTGTCCCACAACCCTAGGGGAGAAGCAAAAATCAAAGCAAGCCTCCTGACTCCCAGAAAACTCTGACTTGTCTTTCCTTATAGGAACTCCCACTGCAAGGTTCTAATTTGACTATAGAGTTTAGCATCCAGGAATACTAGGATATCACTTGTGAAAGCACAGTGTACGAGAACTCAAGGACCTGGCTTGTAGTGCTATTGTTGCCAGTCATTTTAAGACTCTTGATAATTCACTTCACCTCTGAACAGCAGTTTCCCAATTGAAAAAAAAAACATTTATGATCTTAATACCAGTGTGATTATGACACAGCAGTCAGGGTAGGTAACTGTTGGGCTGGGTACAGGTTTTACCCCTACTGCTTCAGTCCCAATATCAGCCACTCTTACCTATGTATGTATTGCACTTCACAGTGAGCTTCTGCTTTGGAAAAAAAGCTCCACTTCTTAAAACATATTTGAAAAGCCATTCTGTACATAATCAACAGCATTGGATCATATAATCTACACAAAAAGTTAACACTTTAATTATGCATTTGCATTTTAATAGGTCATACCAAAATGTACCAAAAGGAGTGACTGATATGAGAATGTCAGTTTATAGGACAACATAACTATCATAAAATAATTTGGCAACAATATTCTTTATTAATTTTTTACCAAAGGGCTCCAATGGACTCTTGTTGTATCTGGGGAAAAGAGATATAATTAGATGTCTTAAACCTGTCCATCCAGTTTCCTTTTGGATGAGGGTAATACATTTTCTATTCACTTGTCAGTGAACCACAGTTTTCAGTTCAGTGCCCAGTGTACACTAAGATCCCAAACTTATGGGATCCCTATCAATGCCAGATTCTAGCTTCAGGCTTGCAGTGGTCAGGAAGTCGTTTGAAATATCAGCTATAAAATAATTTATATTTCTTTTAAAGGTAAAAGATAATGAACAAACCAAAAAGAAAAGACATAAAATAATGCTACAATCAATGTTATAGTATAGTTCCAAAATTTATATGAAACAGAATGACAAAAAAAGCATATGACAGGATAACATGGTAGAGTGCTGTGTGGTGGTGATGGAAGAGAACAGCTAGTTAGAGAAGCATCTGAGAAAGTAATAAATGGGACAAATATGGTAGACAGTCAGTTGTGGTGGAGTGCACCTGAAATCTCAACTGCTCCAGAAGATCAGGCAGAAGGATCAAAAGTAAGGCCAGTGTCATCAACTTACTGAGACCCTGTCTCTAAATGCAAAATAAAAATGAATGGAGATATAGTCCAGTGATAGAGTGCCAGAGTGCCCCTTGATACAATTGCTGGCAAAAAAGGGGGGATAAGAATTAAGAAAAAAGAAAGATATAGAGAGAGATGAAGGAAGGAAGGAAGCAAACAAGCAAAGAAGGTAGGGAGGGAGTTATGGAGGGAGGGATGGTGGGAGGGAAGAAAAGAAGGAAAGGTAGGGAAGAAAAGAAAGAAAGAAAATAAAAGAAAGGAAGGAAAAGCAAAGTTGGAAAGGAAGGAACTGTGAAACAAATGGAAAAATAAATCATAGAGAAAGAATAGCAAAGGGAAGGTCCCTGAGATGTGGCCAGTCCATAGATTTCTTGTCTTCATCAAGGAAAAGGAGAAAGCAGCAGTAAGCATTCAAAACTTGCAAGATAATTTCACATTACCAATGGCATTTATATAGGTTTTTCATATATTTTGCAATGCAGTGGTAGGTTACAGTATGAAAACTGGAAATATAAATAACTTGGTTTTTACTACAGAAAGTCTGAGAAACTGCACCATTGTTTGAGGAATACATGTCACTTATGAACTTCAAACCCAAATCTTGGGTTAGGAATTGCCACAAAGTTGGGCTTAGGAAGAAAGTTGGAGCTGAAATAAGAATTGCCTGACCAAATGGAAGGTACTAGAAGGAAGAACATAAACCATAGAAGTTTTTCTCAGCAGGAAAATGAGCCACACCCCATTTCCTGCCCCACAGAACAAATAAGCCTTCCTCACTTATTAGGGATCCTGTCCAGGCTGATAGCACTCTCTCAGCTGCCCACCTGCTCTCTGCACATGTTCACTGGCACCACTTCCTCCTATGTGAAGCTGTCCTGAGACTCCAAGTTTTCAGAGGACATTTGGGCCATGAAAGATAGCCCGCTGAGGTAAGTTCACACTATGACCTCAAGCACCATAGCTGTGTTAAAACTAAGGTTTACATTTCTAAGGGACTCTGTTATCAAATGGGATAAGAAGCAGAAATCTCATGGAACATCTCACAAACTTCTAGTGGAATTACACCATCATCTAATTTTGCTGTTCTTATTTAAAAAACTTATATGATTTTTATTTGACACACAATTGTATGAAGTGATAGAGTATAATCTGATGTTTGGATATATGTATATATTGTGAAATCATTAAATCAGGCTTAATTGGCATATCTATCACCATAAATATTTATGATCTCCCTCTGGGGAAAACATTAAATATCCTTTTATTCTTTTGGCTATTTTTAAATATACATTATTATTGACTAAGGTCTTACACAATGCTGTGCCTATACAACACCAACACTTTATAGTCTTGATCCAATCATCAAACTGAAACTTCATACTTGTAACTACATGATATGTATTGATTATTCAAATCCATGCCCCAAGATAATAATAAGCCAGGTAACATTGAATACAGGCTGATAGAAACCAAAGTGTTTACAAGCAAGACATAAAACAACTTTTAAATAGCTACAAGAATGACTAAAGAATTCACAAGGTTTTCCAATTACCCTAGTGGGGAGATCACCACAACAGTTGAGTAGGAAAACTATGGAGTGTCTGCCATTCTCTATCTATAGTCCTGCCAGGCATCAGAGCATAGAGGAATGAAAAGAAACTAGAAAGACCACGTCTCTCCAAGGCCTCTGTCAAGTAAGAGAAAGAAAATAAAGGGGGACAGTTTAGAAGAAAAGCATGGAAAACAAACATGAAGCAATAAGCTGTCCTCTATCAAGAACAGGCTGGTTTTGAGTACAACAGGACTTGAAGATAAAGTATTTTCCTAAGAACAAACCAGCAGTAGTACCCAGAGCTCCCTGGGGAGTGAGCGTGAAGAGTCACTCAGCTAACATAGTTGGGAAAACATAGAATAGGTTTTAAAAATATCTGTTTACTGCTGATAATATCTCTTTGCCTTGTATCATGTGTGACATTTACTGTGTGGAAAATGTACAAATATGCCATAGGATTTCAGAATATGGGAGACATCAGAGTGACCTAGGATTGTTCTGGAAAGCTTTCTAGAGAGAAGTTCTAAACTAGGGACAGATCATTGAGTTTGAATTGGTGCAGAGGAAAACCAAGTGGGCAGCAGAATCTCATGAAGTCTGAAAAGCAAAATCTCTATTTGTGTTTTTGAATATATATGTACCCTTAAGTATGAGATAGATAGATAGATAGATAGATAGATAGATAGATAGATAGATATCAATTCACATGGAGAATGTTGTAATAAAGATTTCTCATGCTTATTGCCTTCTTCCCTTACACACAACAGCTCTCCAAGTTGTAAAGAAACCCACTGAGATGCTTCTACTTCTAGGCAGTGTCTCAGTGCATTTTTCTCCACCACTTCATGTTAATACATACTGAACTCTACTAATTCCCTGAAGCTACACACAGATACACAATCAACAGAAATAGAATTTCATGTGATCTTTATGGATCTGACTGACAAATCCTCTGTAACACTATCAAATTGGATTGCTTCAACTAAGACCTAGGCAGACAGAGCTTAAAACAAACAGAACATAGCCCAACTGCTTTCAAAATGACTGTATTAATTTTTACTCTTACCAACAGTGCAACAGAATTGTGTTGAAACTGCTACCTACATTAAGACCCAGTTTGATTGTCAGCCATCTGTTCACTTTATAAAATATATTAATGCAACGTATGACATTTAAAGATATAAGTAAAAGAAATCAGACAACTACCTCAGTGAATCAGGAAAAGATGACTTGACAGTAACCCAATTTCCTTCCATTGATAAGAAAAACACTTTGCAAACAGTTTTTCAGAATAGAACTTCAACCAAATAGAAAGAACTAAAAACAAATATCATGAACCACAATTTTACATATTTAATCAAACATCACAAAATACTTAAACTAACATTGGAAAAAAAGACAAGGTGTCCAGTATGGTCACTTCTATTCATCTTTGTTCTGGATGTGAACTGATATAAAAGCACCATATAAATGGAGCATTGGTATTTCTATATATTAGCCACAATAATTTATCTAGAAAATTAAATAAAGCATTATGAAATAAAAATATTCCATAGGGTGAATATATCCACATATTTATGTAGTATATATTTATACATATATAGATAATTTATGTGTCCAAAAATAGTAGATTAGCTTGCGACCTCTTTTCAAATCTAGAAAAGCAGAATAATTGAGTTCAAACTGCTTGAAGCACACAGAGCTCCCAAGACAGTGAGAACTTGAACTACTAGAACCCAAGAGAAAGTAAGAGAGGAACATAGAGTAATCAGGGAAGGTAGAGGAAAAAAAATAACATATTCAAAGTGCTGAT